CATCAGTACACATAAGGCATTTTATTCAAATAGTAATAGCTTGCAGTTGTGGTAGAATTTAGAGAGAGAGGAATTTAAAGTACAAAAATAATAATGCAAATAATAATGTATTGTTAGAATCCCTGTAGTGAATAGATACAGAGTAGTTTACAGTTGAGGCATTTTTTCCTTATTCCATCTTCATGAAGCATCACTGAAGTTGGGAGTTGTTTTCATGAAATGTTTGAAGATATCAGTTGCTTGCCCATAAGGATTTTCTCATTGCTTGAGGTCATTGGATCCCTTATGGACTAAAATGAACAACACTGTGTTGAAAGAACTATCCCTTTTAAGTGAAGAAAAGCATTAAAATGTATTAGCATTAACTTCTTGAGAAAAAAACTTGCATTCATTAATACCACTAAAAATGATGAATCAGCAGCAGAGTTGTTGCATGCAAAACTCTGTCACTTGCTGGTGACCAGCAAATTTGACTGGCTACCAGCTCTGCACCTTTACTTTCCAAGTTATTTGCACATCACTGAGAATACACCAATTTTGGCTTGCTGCCGTGCAATGCAGTTGCTCAGCTGTATTTCCTGCTAGTAACCTTTACTTCCATTTCACGGTGTTTTCTGGGCACTGATTGTTAGAACTCTAGATGAACTCACCTTGAATCCATTTATAGTTTGGGAAAAGAAAAAGGCATTTCAAGGGAGGGATTGATCAGATAATAATCTTAATTTTTTTTGTAATTAGATTTTAAACGTCTGTGTTAGAATTATTTTAGCTGTGGCATTGCACCCCACATTTGATTTACTATAAGACTCAGTCCTTTGTGCTGCAGTTGCTTAAAATTGCACTGATGGAGTTCTGCATAATGTGCAGAGTTTTAACTCTTAGTGGATGTAACATTGTCTTCACTGTGCATGATTATAGCAGATTTCCAGTGTGGCACATAGCAGAGGTTTCTCTGCTTATCATTGATCTGTTAACCCGAAAATGTTCAAATGAAAAGATTCCAAGCATAAACTTCAAATATTTAACAAAAGTATTTAAATCTGGGGTCAGGGTTTTCGTGTGCCAGGTAAATACAAAAATTTAAATTAAAAAAACCCCATAGCATACACTTGGATTGGAGGAAGCTATAAAAACAAAACAAAACAGAACAAAAAAAAAACAAAACTAAAAGCCCCACATTATTTTTTGTATTATATATGGATAATATGACATTGGTTTGTTTAGTTTATATGTAATCCAAATACTTCCAGAGTATTTTTCAATATAAAGCATGACTTTGTAAGTTACCATCATGTTCGCAATAACAGTTGGAGCAATCATCTGCTAAGATTTAGTTCTTAAAATCTGATAGTAAAACTAAAAATAATTTTTAAAAACCTTAATAGCTATTTAGTGTTTGTGTTTTTATGTCTGTTGATATTTTGAATTTTTGAAGTGAAGATTATCCATTCAGTATTTTCCAGAAAGACAAAGAAAAGAATCACAGAATGGTTTAGGCTGGAAGGGATCTTAAAGACCCTTAAAGTTTCAACCCCCATGCCAGGGGGAGGGATGCCTTCCACTAGAATCATGTTGCTCATGGCTCCATACCCATTCAACAAGTTCATGGCCACAGCATGCCATAAATTGTCCATTGTATACTAACACTAATTCAGGATTCCATAGGCAATTGGAATTACTAAGAAACTCAGATTTTGGCAGTACTGGAAGTATTTTGCCACAGCACCAGTTTTCTGTTAATTTTTGGCTGCGTGCTCTGTGCAGTTAACAGAAGACAGCCATTGGCTCATGCTACAAATCACATAAAATTTCAGATAGCATATGGAAAGTATCCACATTAAACAGGAAAATATAGGCACTTGACTCAGTGACATCTTTTTCTCTTTTCAACTTACCTTCTTGCAGAGAAATAATCTGATGGTTCAGAGAGCTGTAAATAGCAGAGAAGGTAACTGGGGTTGGGGAAGCAGTATGGTAAAGGCATGAAGGGAGCCTGAGGAGATTCACAGATTAGCGGGAGGCTATTGTTTGCTGACACAATAGAAGGAACAGGCTCCAAAAGGTGTGTGGACGCCTGCCATCTTCTGCCTCCTTTCCCTCTGCTGGATGGGACACAGCAGAAACAGCAGCTCACCATGATAAAGTGGAAGTGTGATGAAAGGGATGCCCAGGTGCCCTCTCTCCCCTTTGACAGTTGCACTATTCTCTGAGCTGGACCAGTCTGGATATTGCTGATGTTTTGTCCAGTCATGCTCTTAGCAGATCCAGGCTCTTCCGGCAGCTTGAAACTAATTTTTTTCTTCTGTCTCATTTACACATGGCTTGCAGCATCTCAAGCCAGAGTTACTAAATTAGGTGAAACAGTTCAGTTTGGAATATATTAAATAATTTTCTTTAGTCATGGGAAAGCTCTCTCATACTTCTGTGGAAAGCAGCAACATGCCTTTTGATTTCTGTAAGGCAAAACTAGTGGTCCTGACCCACAGTTCTGGATACAACATTGCCTGCAACAGCCCTTTGCAGTGTTCCTGCTGCAGTAAGAAGCTGCAGCCCTTGTGCCCAGGATGTGCCATGGTGTGCTATGTGCTTCACCTGGTCATCACAGGCAACCACAGCAATCCCTGGTCTGATAAATCCTATGCTTCTCGTAGTCTCTGATACCAGCCATCCAGTCTAACCTTCATCCCTCTTCTCCGTACCTCTGCCAGTTTGTCTTCCTTTATCTTCAAGGGAGGTGACCAGTGTTGATCGTGTTTTCCACAAATTCCTATAATGTTAATATTTTTCTCTTTGTGAGGAATACCTTGTTTGGTATGTTCTGGGCCTCGAATTTGGCAGGGTGGGAAGGGCATATCCCTGTGCAGTTTTGATTTGTTTTCATGGTCTCTCTGACAGCTCATGGTCATTCTGAGATGAAATATTTCCAGAAATTAAGCTTTCAGAGGGGAGGTCTCTATGACACATGCAAAAGAGCTGCATCTGAGATCCATATACAACTCATGTTTAAGCATTTGCTATATTTTTCATAGTTTCTGCAGCCTCAATAAAATGATATAAAAATAATTAGATAGAATAAACTTCTGTTATGCACTCTGTGCCTTTTGCAGATATAAACCTTGAATCTTTCTGAATGTACAGCTGCTCATTCCCAAACACGCTATAAATTGTTGCATGGACCACAAGCATTTGAATGGTACTGAGGAGTTTTAACCTAGCTTAATGTAAGTCATTTACATGTTCAGACAGAGCATCTTTGTGTGCGTCTTCCAAGCTCTCCTTTTTGTATGCAGTGTTACAGTGGTTTGTATTTCTGATAAATATTTTGCAGGGTTAGCCTTTTTAATAGCTGGCTTTCCCTACATCAGCAAGCAGCACCCTACACTGTCTAAAGGTTAAGAACAGATTTGTCAATGAAAATGTATAGTGCTTGATTTTATTTAAATCATGTGTTCTCAATCAGTGTCCATGTAAAAGAATTATGCAAAAGAATACAATAGACATCATGTATCTAATGATCCTTAAGTGGCAGATTATGATCATATCTTTATTAGTGGTAGTAATTGTAGTGACAGTGTTGCTGACAGGTTAAACCATTTCTTACGACAATAGCTTTTGTGCTGTTGCATTGGGATCAGAAATGCAGTTCCTGAGGATTTGCATATTGTGAAGAATAGGCTGCAAAGACATGGAAGCATAATCTTGTCATTGTGTTTAGTGATGTGGGTGGCAGATTGTGTGTAGCTGATTCTGAGCAGGAAGAGTCTGCATATGGGTAGGTTTCAAGCCCTTAAATGTTTTAGGATTGGTAGGTAAATTGGTTGACGATGTAAGTGTTGTTGTAAGTTGTTAAATATTCCAAGCAGCAATAAGCTTTCTAAAACCTTCTCAGTGTTTTAAAACATATAGTGCAGTATCTGAGCAGCTGCATTAGCTGAAATTGCTGAATTAAACCCCTTTTGCACTTGTGCTATTCCTAACCTCAGACACTGCTGTGATAGTTCTGCATAGCATTGTGCTGCATCATTGGGACATTAGGACTTAAAATATTAAGGAGGTTGCAGGGCATCAAACTGGAATAGGTCTCCTTAAAAAACAAACTAACTAAACAAGCAAACAAGAAAACCCCAAACTAGAAAACAACCAAAACCAAGCCTACAATTATGCAGATTGTACAGAAATGTGACACCATTGTTGATAAGTCTGAAACTTTAAACCCAGAGAAAATGTTACCATAGTCTAGGAAATTTTCTCACATTGTGTGTTTTTATTGTAAAAACAAACTTTTTCTTTCCCAAAGTATGTGAGAAAATACTGATTCCTCAGTAACTTATTAAATGGATTGTTCCAAAATGTCTGCAGGTTCTGTGGACTTTTCAACATTCTCCTTCGTGCACCAATGCTTTTATCACCTTTTACCCCAAGTGAAATGATCCTGTGAGAATTATTTGCCCCAAAGAATCTAATCCATGTTATACAAGCAGCCCAGTAGATACTGGAAAAAAATTTTGGGTTTTAGTAAAAGTAAGATCAGTAAAACATACGGGTTGAATTTCATGAACTCATTCTATCAAATAACATTTGAGACTAGCAGTGAATAAAGTGAATAAGTAAACAGTAGAAAAAGAGAAAAAAGTAGACTTACTTTCCAGGAGATGATCACACTTTGTTTAAAATTGTTTTCCCCCCTCTCCAACATAGGGCTGCAGATGAAATAGTTATTTATATAAGTAATGTACCTGCTTAGTCTTCATACTGACCATTTTCTCTATCCAGAGAAATAAATAAATTCATGTCATGAAAGCCTGAAGTTTAATTGTAACATAAACTTCATTGTGGAAAGGACCACATGGGTCAACAAGCCATGTCTCTTCAATTATGAGCAAATATGTGAGAGCAATTTAATCCAGAGATCATCTGCTTTGTACAAATATACCACAGAAATACTTATAGGAAACTTAAGTTCTAATATCACAAAAGGCCAAGCAGAGCATGACTCAACAGGTATTTGTTACAAACATATGTATAGTTAAAAAATTAGATGCATAAGGAGAAAAATACAGGGTTGTTGTTTATTCAGTAAGTTTTGATATTTTATCTGGATTTGCTAGTCATGCAGTCAAGCAAAAGCTGTATTTCTGTGGTAAATATTATTGATGTAAATCAGGTTGTGAGTGCATGAGTCTACCAACTTACTGGCAACATTATTTCCTGAAGCGAATTTTTAATGATTGCTCTTGTGTGTAATTGCATGTTGGGATCCTTAAACAGGGTTAAGAAACAGTTACAGAATTCCTCACTTCATGCTGAGGTTGTTGTATGCAATGACTTTCTATATTTGTAAGAATATTCTGTTGAGAGATACCACTAAACATGCAGGCACTCACAGTAATTAGAGCATAACTTTTTAAACATGTAGAGACTTTCTATTTTTATTTTTTTTTAAATCAACAATTTCCTGAGGTAGCTAAAACTTAATTTCCCAAGCAAAGAAGTTAAAACAACTGGGAAGAAACTAAAAAGTATCTCTAAGTTTATATCAAGATAGAGGGGTAATACAAGGGAATCACAGGTCAGATATGTTTAAAAAAATCTAGCTGAGCAGAATCTTGTCTAAAGACCAGGGGTAAAGGCAGTGAGTGTCCTGCTCAGAGGTGTGCCTTGGAGTTAAAGGTGAGGTTAAGGCACATCACACGTATGTATGCTATGTCTCACAAGTTAGTTTTCCTTCCAGCTTTTTGTTCCTGTCCAAATAGTGAGATCATGATAGTTGACCTGAGAATTTACTATTAAATGCAAAATTTTATGTGATATCCAAAACCTTTTACAAACTGGCTTTGCTGTTACAGCTGTGCAAGATGTTAGTCAGCATGTTGCAGAGGATCCAGGACATGCCTCCTGTATAGATTTTACTCCTTTTCTGAAAGTGGTAACTTCAGCTATAATTCTAGCTGACTTCTTTATTTATTGATTAATTCACTTCTAAATTAGGGCAATATTAGCATGTTTTGCCTGGCTTTATTTAAATCTGTTTAATCCTGACAACTCTCCTGAACAACTGATTAGACCTAATTTTCCACTGCCTTAAAATGGGAATGGATTACTTTGTTCAAAGGGGGGAGGGGGGTGTGGGGGAAGTTGAGGAAGTGCCCTTGGAGTGTTCAGCCAAGTGAAATTCTTCAAAAACTGGGATACTGACAGAAAAGTGCCTCCTGTTTTGCCTAACATGTGACATATCCTATAATACTGTTGTCTTGTAAATTCATCAAAAGACGTGTCCCTTTTGCTTATTGCAAATGCATCCGTGTCATTTTGTTTAACAATGTTATTTCATTGTAATATCTAAGAATATTTAAACCACAGCAGGTTGCTTAGTCTTTTAAATGCTATTAGGATGTTGTCGGATTTATGTTAGTTTCAATCAGCTGCTTCTGCCTCTGGTACCAACAGATGGACGTGTGTGGAATGATGCCATGCGAGTCTCTCTTCACAGATAAGGAATTTCTAGTCAGAAAAGACAAGAATAAACACTGGAATTATTTTACCAATAAGGGTCTAAAGGGAAATCCTGAGCTGATGGGATGGTCATAGCAGAAGTTCCCTGTTTCCTGTGCTTTCTTGTGGGACATGGATGAGGAATAACTAGCTTGAATGAGGTATAACTAGCTTGAATGAAAGAGGATTGTCCTCTTTCTTTACTGTAATCGTACTACAAATCTACTTTTCACCTGATGCTTTTCCACACTTCCCAAGGAGCATCTGGCTCCTGCTTAGATCTAATCCTCCCCTTCACAAATGCTTTCTCAGGGCTAAAGGCTATCATTGTCATTTCTGTGGACTGCTGCCTGCAGTTTTTCTGTGGAAAACTTTTCTTTTTCTTCAGACTATTATCTTTAGCCCACAGCCTTCCGCTCCATCACATCACCTGCTTTCACTCTTTTGCTCCCTGTGCTGCACAAAGACAGGAGAGGAGTGGGCATAGGAGGAGTTGGTTTGTCGGGTGAGCTACATTGTGGCAGCTGCCAAGTAAAGGAGTATGGCTTGGGAATGGGAACAGCAAACCATGTCAAAGAGCCAAGAAACTGCTCAGCTTTGCCAGGCCCCTCAGCATTGCCTGACCCTCTTCATCAGTGAATTTGTCCTTAATCAATGGACGTGAAGGCGATTTGAGATCAGGTCCATGGTCACTGTGGAAATGCATACCTCATCTTTTCTGGCATCTCTTCTACCCTGCTTCTTAAAGCAGATAAGCCCCTCTCAAAAAATTGTAATTACTTTTTTGAGATCATGGGTTTAAACAAAAGGATGAAGGTTAGTTTTTTTTGAGTGTGATATTCACTTCTCTGCAAAGTACCTGCCGGTTTATTCCTAAACCCTTAGTCAGTAATTTTAACACAGTTAGTCATAATTTTTTTGTTTCCTGGTTCATGTATCTTATAAAACTCCAAATGTAGCCTTCCACGGAATGTGTACTTTTGTGTTAATATTTGACATCTACAGAGAGAGAAACTTATCAATAATTTATTACTAGAGAGAAAGAATTCTTTTTCTTGAATACCTATGCAGTTACAATTCATTTTTCTCTTTTTTTCCTCCCAAGTTTGATGCTGAGGTGGAGTAAAAACTCAACCACTAGTGAGGTGCAGATTCTGATTTGCAGCAGTAGGCTACGTAAAAAAGAGAGGTCAGTGAGGAGAAGCAGAGAGCAGGTCACCAGTGTTACTGACCTAGTGCAGTGCCCACATTGAGGACAGTGTCAGCAGAGTTCAGAGATGCCTGTGAAAGTTGAGGCAGGAAGACTGGCAAGCTGGAAGAATCTCTTTACCAGTGTCTTACATCACTCCTATGCTTTTGATTACCTCCATCTTTCCATTTGCTCTTTTTTTAAAAAACGGAACCAAAGCAGCAAAGGAGGCTGTGTAAAGGGAAGATGGGCTGCACATGGTCTGCAGGGTTGCTGTATAGAAACCTTCTCTACTTTGACCTAGTGTTTGCAAGAAAATGCTCTGCATCTGTCCTGCTCTGGATTGGAGGGGCAACCAGGTCTCTTGAGCTGCATCTGTAGGAGCTCCACATTAATTCTTACTGGGGTTTTGTCCCTTCTTACTCCAAGCAGAACAGGCCAAGAAACGAGACTGACTGTGGTAGGGGTGGCCACCCTGTGTGGCTTCAGCTGTGTTGTCCATACAAGAATGTATGTACAATCCTCCATACAAGAATGCAGATACGGCCTCAAGCAAGCAGCTTGTGCTCCCCAACATTCAGCCTGAGGCTCACAAACAATCGATGCATCCCAAGGTGAGAACCTGAAGAAGAAAGCAGGTGGTAAAGGTCTCCAGTTTCCCTCCAAGAGGGCTTATGCTGTGTTGCCTGGTTTCACAAGGGGATAGCACCAAGTTTGAGCACAAAAGTAGTAGGCAGATCTCATTTTTTGCACACAGATATCCACTCAGTGTGTATTTCTATTCATAAATATACGCATATATAAATATATGCATGTATGCATATGTTGCCTGATATGAAGGGGCAGAGACAATGTGACATACCTCAACTTTCAGGAACTCAAGGAGGCTCCCACACTGGTTGCCTCAGAAGAGAGGGGAAGACCAGGAAGATTCTTCTTTCCTTTGGGATTTTGTTTTTATTCCTGTGTACAATTTGTACTGGAAGTTGGGTTGGTGAAGAAGCACTGCTGCAACCTCTTATAGAGTTTAAGATTTTCCTTTGTGCAGAGGAGACATATTCGTGTGATAGCTATGGTTTCTCTCTGGGGAAAAAAAAAGAGAGCTGTGTCCAAAGGGGGTGAAAATTTCTCTATTGTTTATTATTGCTTCCAGGATTTTGTAGGTCAGTTATGTCAGGATAAGTGCTGTGTTTGGGAAAAGCAAAGGGAGGGTTGGGAATATAATTTCAGATAAAAGTTATTTCTGGGCACAGGTTGCTTGCGCGTGTCATTCTTGAACTGTGTGATCTTTTCTCAGGAGGAAGAGACCCAAAAGGGTCATGGGGTTTTTGGAGAGGGAGAGAGGAAATGAGAAATACTTTCCCTCTTTTGGAGAAAGGTAAAAGCAGGATATACCAGGATCCTGTAAAATTCTGTTTATTGGCACTGAGCCGTTTCAAAGCTGGGAACAAGTCTGCACCAAAAATCCCAATGTTAGTACGTGAAAGAAAAAAACTGCTGAGGAGAGGAGGGGAAGAAGTAAGGCAGATTCCTACAGACTGACTGACACTAGCCAGATTTGGGACTTAGGTCTCAAACTGAGGTATTTACATAGCTAATAAATATGACTACATACATCTTGTGCTTCATAAATTACAGCTTCTGACAGTGAAGGACTATGAAAATTCAGACCCAGTTAGTGATTTCTAACCAAGCCATTCAGTTTTGAGCTCTCATAGTCTGTGGCAGGGAACAAACATGACTGCTCTTCACAAAAGCTATTCATCATATATCCTGTGTCTGACAGTCTCCAAAAACAGCAGTCACCCTGATTTGTGCTTCCAAACCTATCTGTATCTTGCCTCTCCAGACAGAAGAATGTCAATAGGGAAAAAAGCAGTCTGTCCTAAAAAAAAGGAAGCTCAGTAGCACTTAAAAAATCTGTATTTTGGCCTGGCAGATCCTGTTAATGTTAGTGTGTTACCTCTCCCCTCCCCCCAGCTGCCCCCACCTATCTGAGACAGAAGATGAAAACAGCTTCCAGAGATCAAGCAGTACCATAAAACCACATATCTGGCACTTGAATTTCATAGTCCCCTGAAAACTCCACATATCCAACCACAGGTGGAGCAGTACCTGTTCATTTTCTGGGTCCTGCCCTTTTCACCTTCCTCTGAAGTATGCTCAAGGTAGACAGTACCAGTTTCTCTTCCTTGATTCAACACTTCCCACCTGAGTGAGGGAGCCATTAAAAAAAACAAAAACAAAAACAACTAAATGCTTGTAAAATCTAGTTTCTTTTTGCTACATACATCTCAAGACTTTTTAGATTAAAATGCTGTTTTGTTTGATTGAAATTGATGGCAATCTCTGATTTTAGTCGGGACCAGGATTTTGCACACATACGTATCTATCAAAATATTAATTTTTCAGTAAGCCATCTTTGAAAACATGGGGGACTAATAATATTTGGAGATAAAAGCTGAAAGTCTTTCTGGACTCCAGAGTAATGTGCATCCTTTTTCTAGTGTTCTTGTGCCTCAGTGTATCAAGCATCACGTTTAAGTAGTGCAGGTGGTTTCTACGGAGGGGGAGTTTAGGAAGAGCCAGGTGCTGCGCTGCTGCTGCTTTTGCACTGAGGTACCAGTTTGCAAGCCAAGAGGTTTGAAGCAAAAAGGAATACCTATAGGGTTGTCTAGCTTGAAGTTTCATTTTAGGATCTAAAATGGAGGCGAATGAAGGAACGGAGATACGGTTTCTTGTCAACATTTGTTGTTGTAGGGATATTAGACACGTATGTTACCGTGTTCGGATTATCGTGAGCTGTTTGGACAGCTTCATTTTCTGGTTCAGCTGATGCAGTTTGGAATACTCAAAGGGAAAAAACGGCCCATGTGCAGCCGTGACTACTTGTGTAGGAAGGGACATTTTGTTGGTTAAGAAGTGGAGGCAGGGTGTTTGCGGATATGCGTGCTCTGTGTACACGCGGGCAGACCCCGGCCGCTCCCACACCGCGGTGCCAGGGGCTGGCTCCCGGCGCTGCTCCCGCAGGTCGGTCACGATGGCAGCCATCACCTGTGCCAGCCTGGGATTCCAGACCCAGGAGTGCCAACCCTCGCTCTGGTAGCGGCCAGGCT